AACTATTTCTATAAAAATTAATACTTTAAAGCTTATAGCATTACTAAAATGAACAATCTTTTTTGTTTTTTGCTCTGAAGTGATCTTCTTTGACTCCATAAAATGAACAGTCTTTAAAATATTATCAGGTGATTTGACATGAAAGAAGCTAAACATCATAATTGAGTAGTATTATATGGAATAAGTTGATATATAAGTAACCTTTTATCTTTGGACTTTATTTCTTTCAAGAGTAGTTATTTCTCAATATATACATTGAAAATTTTTCTTAAATGCCAATATTTTTAATAGCTGTTTTATTGAGAAATAATTCACATACCATAAAATTCACCCATTTAAATTGTGCTGTTCTGCGGTTTTTAGCATATTCACAAAGTAGCAACCATCACTACTATGTAATTCCAGAACATTTTCTTCACCCCAAAGTAGAAACTTCATACCTTTTAGCAGTCTTCCCATTCTATCCTCCCCCTACAACCACACACAGCTCTGGGTAACCACTAATACTCTCTCTATAGATTTGTCTATTTTGAACATTTTTTATGTAGAGATCACATAATATGTGGTTGTTACTTGCATCATCTTTCTCTTAGCATAATGTTTTCAAGGCTTATCCGTGTTATGGCATGTGTCAGTACTTTATTACTTTTTGTTGCTGAAAATTATTCCATATGTGAATATATCACATTTTATTTATCCATTTATGAGTTGATGGACATCTGGGTTGTTTCTGCGTTTTGGCTGTTATGAATAATCCTGCTGTGAACATTTTGTTGGCAAGTTTTTGTGTGGGTTTTTGTTTTCATTTCTCTTCAGTAGAATTACTGGGTCAAAACTCCGTGTTTAACTTTTGAGAAACTGCCAAACTGTTTTCCAAAGTAACTGCACCATTTTACAATCCAATGAGGATTCTCATTTCTCCACATCCTTGGTAATAAGTTTTGGCAAAGATGTGGAAAAATTGCAACCCTAATTGGATTGGCTATAACCATCCTAGTGGCCGTGAAATGTTACCTTGTCGTTTTGATTTTCATTTTCCTAATGGATAGTGATGTTAAGCATCTTTTCATGTGTTTATTGGCCATTTGTTTATCTTCTTTGGATAAATATCTTTTTAAAATCTTTGCCTATTTTTCATTTGGTTATCTGTTGTTTTATTGTTGAGTTTTAAGAATTTATTACATATTCTTGGTATGAACCCCTTATCAGATATATGGTTTACAAATATTCACTCTCATTCTTTTCACTTCTCGATGATATGGTAACCTTTACAGCCCAAAAGTTGTTAATTTTGATGAAGTCCAAATTATCTGTTATTTTGTTTGTTGCTTGTATCTTTTATATCGTATCTAAAAATTTATTTAATCATGAAGATTTATTCCTGTATTCTAAGAGTTTTATAGTTTTAGCACTTACATTTTATGTCTGTAATCCATTTTGAGTTAGTTGTAGTGTAAGGTATAAGGAAGGGATCCAACTTTGTTCTTCTGCATGTAGGTATGTCTAGTTGTTCCAGCACCATTTGTTGAAAATATTACTATTTTCCCATTAGAATGTCATGGTAAATTGTTGAGGTTTATTTAGGTAAAATACACATAATATAAAATCAACTGTTTTAAAGTGTATAATTCAGTGGCATTTAGTACATGTGCAGTATTGTGCAGCCCCCACTTCTATCTAGTTCTAACTTTGTGAAGTACTAGACATTTTCATCATCCCAGAAGAAAATCTTACACTCATTAAGCAGTTATTCCCCATTTTCCCCTCCCCTCAGCCCCTGACAACAACCATCTGCTTTCTGTCTCTATGGATTTACCTATTCTGGATATTTCATATAAATAGAATTGTATAATATATGATCTTTCTATCTGATTTATTTCACTTAGGCAAATTTTCAGATTTCGTTCACATTGTAGCATGTTTCAGTACTTCATTTTTATGGCCAAATAATATCTAATTTTATAGAGACACCATATTTTGTTTATTCATTTATCTGTTGAATATTTGGAGACTTTTGACCTGATATATAGCATTCTGCTTTAGTTTAAAATTCACAAATGAACAAAAATGAAGGGTCATTACTTTTCATTCTTTATTAAGAGGAAAGATATATGTGCAAAATTGTTGTACTTATCACGAAGAAGACACTTAGTAAATATTAGTGTCTTCTACCTATTATGTATTTAATGAATGTCTTCATTCCACTGTCTCATTTAGACCTTATAAGAATATTAAGGCCAGGCACGGTGGCTTACGAATGTAATCCCTGCACTTTGGGAGGCCAAGTAGTGTGGATCATGAGGTCAGGAGTTCGAGACCAGCCTGACCAACATGGTGAAACCCCATCTCTACTAAAAAAATACAAAAATTAGCCAGGCATGGAGGTGTGCACCTGTAATCCCAGCTACTCAGGAGGCTAAGGGAGGAGAATCGCTTGAACCCAGGAGGTGGAGGTTGCAGTGAGCTGAGATTGCACCACTTCACTTCCCTTGGCCACAGAACGAGACTCCGTCTCAAAAAAAAATTATTAGCATTTTGCATAAGAGAATATTGATGATTGTAACTTATTCAAAGCTATATAGCAAGTTACCTTCACTTATTCTCAGGAGAAAAAAACCACGAAGTTATATACCAAGTAAATGATGGAGCTGATGTAACTGCAGCCTTTGCCTCCAAATCGTGTTCTTTGCTGACAATAAAGTGTTCTTACACAAAAAACATTAGCTATTATGCCCTGAGTCAGTATACCTAATTCTCATGTTTATCCGAAATTATTCAATGAAAGATAATTATGCATACCTGTTTTTTTCTATCACAATTGAAAATTAACCTAAATGTAGTTTAAACACCAGTTATAATATTGGTAAGAGCAAGGGATAACCTCTGTAGTACAGAATTTTGTCTTACTGTGAAACAGGCCAAAATCTCTAACATAATAGAGGGATCATGCACTTTTTTTTTTTTATTCATCATAATAACTCTAGCATATGTACCTAGGATAATTGTAGATCTCAATAAAATATTTGTTGAATGAAATATATTGCATGTTCTATTCATGTGACCTGTGACCAGATTTCATCATAAATTGCCACTGAACTCTCAAATCTTACAGGTTTTGAATGAACACACATAGTAAAAATTCTTATAGTCCAATGTTGGGTACCGGCCCCAACCCTGTTCATGGGTGCCCCGAGTCCCATTGTTGATGAGGGATTGAGAAAGGAAATAAAGACAAAGACACAGAAATACAGTTAAAGTGTGGGTCCAGGGGACCAACGTAAAGTGCGAGGATCACGTTGCCCCTGAGTTCTGGTTTCCACGGGTTTTTTGTTTTTGTTTTTTTAAATTTCTTTTTTTTTTTTTCTTTTCCCATTTATTTATTTTATT